TGTGACTGAACCACCAGTAATCACGTAGAAATCGGTGCTGCCGTTCGTTACTATCCCACCCCATACAGTTAAGCCTCCTCCTCTGCAATGGTCTCGTTCAGCGATGTTTGGTGCTCGATAGCGTGTCGCTGGCTCCCGCCATATTATTATGGCCTTCAAGAATCGTTCTGGATGTTAAATCAAGACTCCCCCTTAAAGAGTACGAGGTTCCCACCGCTCTAGTGTCTAACTGCGATGTTCATGGGCCAATTCAACCAGCTCTCTGACATGCGATGTGGACAAAGGAACACAAACCACAGGTCGTCAGATGTACAGTCGAACATCATCCAGTCGACGCGACACAGTTTGGGGGGAATATGAGGGTCATCCTGCAGCAGATGGAAGATGCGACGCCAGATGTTGCGCTGTTAGTGATCTACGGCGTCTTACACTTAGCAACAGGAAACGATCGTCTGCCGTTGTGGTAATCCTCCGGCGTCCAGACCCACGTCTTCTGTAGGGGTTTCAATCCCTTTGGTAACGATTTATAACCTATTAATGACACTACGATGCACATTCAGGTCTTTTGCAACAGAGGATTGTCTTCCACTAGCTTGCAACATCGCTACAGCTTTCCAAGGTATTTCATCACGCAAGTGGTGTCTTCGACTCATGATTTCTACTTTGGCTACCTTGTATTACACAGAATCATCGCTGCTTGTGAACTGACGCATAGGTCCGGCATGCCCCTTTTTCAGGTGTTGTGATGTGACTGCGGGATTGCGTGTTATGCTAATTTTGGTTGCCTCCTTGCATTCGGCGATGCAACCTCTACCTCCATATGTACATTCGTACTTTTTCTTTTAGTGTTTCTTGTTTATGTTTTGAGACGAGTGTAATATCTACAACTAATGGATATGAAATTAGTGCGAATTTTTTGTGTTCATGTTTCACTTTCAATAAAATAAGTTTCATGAGCTTGACAAATCTAGATTTATTTTAAGACAATGCATAACTTTTAGCCATAATTTCAGAGTTTTCATCAGCGAAATGACTTACGATTTTAATTCTTTTTACTTAAATAATGAACAAAAAAGAATGACTTTAAACATATTCTTATAATTTGATATGGTTGTCTCTGTTGATAATAATTTGATATGGTTGTCTCTGTAACTGTATATAGTATACCATCTAATGATGAGCATCTCTGAAAGAGAACTGTATTTCTGAGAGCATAAATAAACATCAGCATTTAATATGACCTCTTAATACGATCTCCACCAAAAAAAAAATCACTTCAAATAACAAGTGGTAATGCTACAGAGTTTTGCTGCATTCATAAAATTAGCCTGAATATGTATATGAAATCAGTACAGCTGTATCGATACCTAAAAAATTGCCCAACCCACTAAAGACAGAGAAAATTAGAGTGCGGCAGTGAATCAGGCCTGTTTGGCAACAACGCTTGTTTGGTTTGGCTGGAGAGGGAAGAACGATTCTACAACCCGCTTGTCAAAAACTTCAAAGCATTTTCAGCTGAGTGGAGCATTGGAGAGGAGCGCAACTTGGCACTTTATAAAAATGGCTACAGTTACGCGATCACTCAACGTGAATTTTGAAGAGAGTTCAAGGCTCGTCGTAATAATGATGTTCCATTAGCCCATGCCATCAAGACTTGGGTATGAACCCACTGGTTCGACAGTAAATAACAGAGGTGGAGAGGTGGTAGTGAAAAATCAGTGCGTACACGTCAGAACATAGCGGCAGTGAGAGAAGTCGTTAAACGGATTTCTCGCCGCCCTGTCAATCGTTAGCAGAAGACTTTCCGAGCGCATACGGAGGATGGTGGACATCTAAAATATGTTTTTTAAATAAAGACTTTTTTCCTGTTTGAAATTTAAATGCTTTAATGTGTACTGTGTGTTCTCGTGTATTTTAAGTAAGTAAATATTATCATTGGCTCCCACCAGCGTCCCGAGCGGTAAAATCGCTCAATACTGGTAGTTCCGACTTGGGTTCTATTGCAGGCGAACGGGCTGGCTGTATGTGCGTAACCTGTATACGAGCCAGATTCCCTTAGAACGTCGACCCTAAAGGCATCCCTCAGATAGATATTCCTAGTGTGCTTTGCCATAATCAACTACACCGACACCACTCTTAAAAATATTTTTAAAGTCGCCCGATCCACTGCTGCATCTTATATATTATAGCTGACTGTTAATGTTATGGTGTATGCATACTAGAACTTTGTTAAGTTAATGTCAAAATGTAGAATTTAATATACATGCTAACTTTTCCATATAATACATTAAATGTTCATTAATAGCATAATTATTTAAACTTAACAGTAAGTTAAAATTCTCTGATGGTTTATATATATATATATTGTTGCGAGTGTATAGGTTCGTAGTGGATTGAAAGCACACAGAACCGATGATAGCTTGATAGAATCTGTTTTTTCGAAAGAAGCACTTTATACTTATGGAACTTTCTACCATGCCGTCTGGCCTGATTAATTACGGCAAAGCCTCGAGAACTATCTGCCTAAGGGAACGGATGCCTTCGGATAGGACCTTCCTAAGTGAAACTGGCTCATATACACGTTACACAAGGGCAAAACCATGAAAACGCCCATGGAATCAGCCCTTTCGCGAGATTCGAACCGCGGACCGAACTACCAGTGCTCAGCGACTTTACCGCTCGGCCGTTGGTGAGCATCATGGCGTCTGATTGGGAATGTAATGATATCGTTTGGGTTTTAACAATGAGAAGTAGCTTGCAAAGTTCTTTAATTAGATAAAATGTAAGATTAGATAAAATTCATTCCTTGATCTCAATATAACTGAAAAGGCACTTCAAACCTGAAAATCCGATGTTTTTTCACTCCCTCTGCTATCGTGATAACCTATCGTAATCAGGAATAAGATACGCTTCAGGCTATCGTGATCAGGAATAAGATACGCTTCAGGCACTAATCACTGACAAAGAAGGTTCATTTGCTGTCATCAGCAGTTCGTGGAAGAGGTTCCAGAATGTCAAAGAGGTTGTGCTCAAAAGGCGCTCCTACATTGTAACGTTGCAGCTTTCCTGGGCTACATTTTTTCGGTCCTTTCGGTCTCGCGCTGGCATCGCAAGATAGGCACCACTTTTGCAAGTCAGCCCAGTAGAAATGGTTTCCAGTAGATGCGCCCTCGAACTCCATGCAAAGTTTTCATTTTTCGGAAGTGGCCTCCTTTCGGACTGCTTTGTAATTCTTTGAGGACGTCCGGGATCCGGGATCTTGGAATTATCAGCTGCCATGGAGTTCCTTTCCATCATCTGTTTCGAACTTCTGGTACAAGACGCCGTTTCGAATATGAAGCGAGTCCCAGAGAACCCAGTATTGTTTCATCGTCGGACTATAGATCGAAATGTCCTGCCAGGTAGGTTTTCTATTTGAAGATTACATTAAGTTAGTTATGGGTTTAATATTGTCGTCTCCCAAGTGGTCTTTTCTGAGTTCTTCGTCATTTCATGGGTATGTGTCAGACGATATTGAATTCGTACCTTGACATACGACTGCTTTGAACAGCTCGTATTTCGCTTCGACCCTGGAGCAATATCGTCAGCTTTCTGAGCAGAGTTTTTTTAGACATGGCATCAGCGTTTCCACTGTATGATCCCTTAAGATGACGAACTGTATCCAGTTGGCTAGTTGGCCTTCGAGTAGCCAAATCATCCCCAATCAGACTGGTAAATAACAACAATTATACAGGGATCAAATCAATATGTCGCGAAATGGTCGCCAAATTTGATGACTTTTAAAGATTTCTCGCGAAATTTAAGCTGAGATAGCCATTTACCTCAGTGTCAATTGGACTTGTCCATGTAACCTTATTTTCCCGGCGGAGCTCCACATTTTTTGAGGCATTTCATGTTACATCATACAAGAAATACTGGTATTTAGATATAATGTCACTAAAATTACTTAAGTATGTAGAAAATTCGTAACAATATCATAAATACTTTAATTTGGTATTTTGTAAAGTTATAAATATGTACTACAAAGCAAGAGCAGCTAAAATTATTTATGTATGTTCATAAATAAACAAATTAGTGACAACGTGCGAAATTCTGTTGATTTAATTAAAACTTTTTTTTTACTTTGGAGCCTGTTATATAGTTTTAAAACAGTATAGGTATCTAGTTGCAGCTATTTCAAGATCTAGATGTGGCTCTTGAAATTTTTCAACTTTAACATTGGGTTCCGAACGATATGAAATTTGGCTACGTTGTTCTAGGCATTGTTAGAATAACAATGGTAAATGTTAAAACCGGTAGACTACAGATGATCCATGATCCATTCTTATGGTTTCAAAATTCTAAATACGAATTTCTAAGCCAATCAGAAATTTAAACGAATGTAACTTTACAGTAACTTAAAATGTATTATTTTCCTATGTTTAGAGGCAGAGACTTCCTTTCTTTATTCCTTTTCTATACTTTAGACGAAATCATATGAAAGAAAGTATTTAAAAACATTCTTAATTTACACAATTTTAATGAAAAACAAAATACAAAGTAAAGTAATACAATAAGTAAAGTAATACAAGGTAATACTTTTTATTCTCATAATTTTATGTATAAATGACAATAGTGGATAATAATAATAACAATAAAATCGTGGACTCATATAGGAATTGAATGAGAATATTAATAGAACTTTAAAAATAATAAAAATGATGGCAATAAAAAGCAAATAAACGAGAATAATTACATCCAATTCGCTTAAATTTCTTTCAAAATTTTGATTTAAAATCTATGATTTTACATCTATCATATGTGATAAAGCATAATATGAGAACTGAGGAATTTTTTGTTATCTTTTTAATGCATCTGTGACTGAGAAAATATAAAAGTTCTGACATTTCTCAGAGTTACAGAGAGTTCACCCTCAGAATGCAAATTATGTGGCATAAATATTGTATACACATATGTAAGACTGCATATTGATTCAGCCACCTCTTAGACAGCTGTTTTCATTGTAATTGGCCATACCCTGCTCTTTGTCTAAGCTTTTGAAAATCCAATACATTTTTTCCTCAGAAACGGTGTACTTTTTTCCTTTTTTCAAAGATTATTCAAATTTTAAAGGTAGGTTAAAGGTTAGGTAAGATTCAAATTTTAAATTATTGTCTTGAAATTTTTGTTTAGTAAATTTTTATCATTTTTGTATTTGATATATTTATGCGTACATCATATATGTATTAAGAGTATTTTCTGCATTTTTATTTAGATTTTTTCTTTGCTGGTTAATTAGTTTGCTTTCTTTCTTTGGGTCATATCTTAAAATCAGTTCCCGTACACATAAGCATTTGCGATTATAAATGCGTATCTGTGACGAAAATTTGGATTTTGTATTAGAAAAAATTCAGAAAAGATAATATATTTCTGTTAAAAAATATTCAGAATTAAAATAAAATTCCTCTTTTGTCTTCGAGTTTCGAAGTTTAATAATGAGTTTCTTAAGTTTAGAAAATTTAGCTTATAAGTGAATACATCCTGCAAACCGCGTCTTTAAGGAAATATTTATCTTTTTCTTATATATTTCATATTCATATAGAAAGAGATATGTTGTTACTTATGCTCACTTGTCTGTCTTAGTCAGCCCAAGCCACGAAATTCCTCGTGGCAAGGAGCGCAAGATTACGCATGTTGTTGGCAACAGCCTTGAGAACCATTCAGGTGACAGTGCAATTTAGCTCATTTCCTCCCCAATTTTGATGGAGAGCATGATAACAAACAGGGGATTTAAATCATTAAATAATTACAGAAAAACATATGTTATTAACTTTAGAGGGTTGGTAAAACCAAAGAAAAACTGGATAGTATTTTTAAAATTACAAATAGAAAAAATAAATAAATAAAACCGCAGAAATGAATTCAGAATAGGTTTTTCCGTTGCCTAGAATTGAACTCATAACTGCTAATGCATCGTGGAAAACTTTCATGTATGAGGGAGCTTGTGTATATAAATGATATAAAAATACTAGTTCCTAAATTTTTATAAAACTCGAAAACTCTTTTATATTGAGAAGCCATTTCATATTAAAAGTATATCTATCTGACATTTTATCTTACATTTCCTTAATATAATGTAACGTTGAAATTTTTTTGAAGTAAATATGCTTGATGAGCCGAAAATCTTTGAATAATAATTATATTTCATTGCTTTATCCTGTTTTTCTCTGCAGGTAGCTTTCTAGAAAATGAGATCGTTTCAAAAGTTTTTCATCACATGTGGAAGTTTGCTTTACATTTTATGTTTTGAAAAACCGATTTTTTGTATGAGAGTTCCAATGATAAACACGAAATTAGGGACGATTATTGGAACTAATATTTACATCGACGGAATACTAGTAAATCAATACTTAGGTATTCCATACGCAAAACCACCCGTAGATAAACTGCGCTTCAAAAAGCCGGAGAAGATTGAAGAATGGATATCACCTCGGAATGCCACAAAGCAGCCACCAGCCTGCATTCAGTACACACCCGGTCCATTTCCATCGTATGATGACAAACCTGGCAAAAGTGAAGATTGCTTATATCTCAACATTTGGACACCATCTAATGCCAGCGATATAAATACAAAAGCTGTTTTCTATTGGATTTATGGTGGTGGATTTTCGCATGGATCTATTCGCAAGGAACTCTATGGCGGAGAAGTAGTGTCTGCTGTTGGAGATGTAATTGTAGTCACAGTCAATTATCGCTTGGGACCCTTCGGATTTCTGTTTGCTGACAGCAGCGATGCTCCAGGAAACGTTGGTAAGGCTTTTGCTCAGCACTTTGTCTAACATTTTATTTTCATTTCAAGATAAAAGAAAGCAAAATAATTTTCTCCTGTTTCTCCACTCACAGTCAACCTTAATCTGTATTAGAATACTTTGAGTCCAGATTAGAGTACCTTTAGTAGATCAAGGTACCTTGAGTCGAAGTTTATATTCATTGTAGTATAAATAAATATTCGACTTTAAGAGTGCTTAGTAAAAATATAAATTTCACAATTTTTCAAGGTTATTTACTTCAATTTTAATAAACTGCATGCGGCCGTGTCGATGAGTAAATAGCATATCGTTAAATACAAGCATAATAATAAATTCATTATTGTAAAATACGTATACCTTCGATTAAAATAAAATATTATATATTTTGCACAAAGGCGAAAGTAATATAAGATACTTTCCTGCGTGTATAATCCTTTGGAGTTATTTAATAGTATTATTTTGCATGTATATACATGCAAAATGTTTTTGCATATATTTTAATAAAAACTTAAATTACCATTCATTACATCTAGAAACGATGATATATACAGTTAAGCAAATAATTGTAGATTCATGTCCTGCAAATATTTTTCATAATCTTGCATCATATTATGAAGCAATTTTATAGCTTATGTGCGAAGAACATGAAGTAACACATAAAATGTTTTAAATAAACTGCATGCGGCCGTGTCGGATGAGTAAATAAGCATATCGTTAAATACAAAGCATAATTATAAATTCATTATGTAAAATACGTCTCTGTACTTCGCTAAAATAAAATATTATGTTTTGCACAAAGGCGAAAGTATATAAGAGGTACTTCCTGCGTGTATAATCCTTTGGAGTATTTAAATCAGTAGATTTCATGTTTTTTTCCATGCATATGTTTGCATATATTTTTCAAAAAACAGTATTGGCACATAGAAACGATGTATATAATAGTTGCATAATTGTAGAAACATGCAAATTTTCATAATTCTGCACCCATATATGAAGCATAATTTTATCGCTTATGTACGAAGAAACATGAAGTAAAACATAAAATGTTTTAAAAAAAACGCTCTTTTGGGGTAATGTAAAATAAAGAAAGCTTCAGTTTTATAATTTTTTAAGGTTCGTTTTCTAACGTTTATTTTAAAACTAAATCTTTAATATCATCTTCTTAGTTAATCTACTTCCGGCCAGAATAGCTTTAACTTATTTATGCAATTGTTTGCTAACGTAAGTACTAAATATGTAGCCAAATGCAAGGTCAGGGGGAAAGAGTTTATTCCATCGACTCGCCATAGTAGTTTTTACTCATTTGCTTGTTGCCTCAAGCCAAAAAGGTTTATATCCTCTTGATTTTTCTAACGTATGCGTAGTTGAGCAGCCTCTGTACTACATACGGATTTTGGTAATAACGGCCAATCTGAAACTTGTATATTTCCAGTTATTTTTAGTGAGTTTATTTAGTACGTTTTGTATATTCTTACGTTCAGACCACAAGTAGGTGGTCTCCTTATTCCGATTACGGAAATCTTGTAAAGATAGAAAATAAGGGTTTCGTAAGCTTTGTGTATTGTCTACTTCACAATTTATTGAACATAAGCTTGAGTCAGCTCCCTTTTCCCATGTCTACAGCCAGGTTCCAAATAAGTGAAGAGGAACACAAGGTCCTGATAATTTTTTTCCCAAAAGGGAGCTCTTATCCACAGAAACTTGACAGATTTCAGTATCATACACTTTCAGCTTCTTAGTTTCTGCTAATATAAACTGATCAGCGACGTGAAAAAACTATATGGGGACTTGGAACGATATCACGTAATAGACCATGACAACAAAGAATGAAAAACAAAAACTTTGCTATCGTGGAATTATCGCCAATTTTTCAAAACCGTGGCCTACCTTCACAGACGATAATGCGTTGCATTCATTGGTTTTGACAAGAAGGACGGACTTAACATTGCAGAAGGAATCTGTATAACTTCAAGTTTCTTGGCATTTTCCAGTTCTGACAAATCTTTGGATCCGATGTGTCACGCGCCTTAGATTCGACGACGACAGCTCCAAAACAAGAAATCCATGTTTTCGGATAGTGAGTCGGAATCGACGATTGCTGCACGAAACTACAAAGTTACCTACACTGTATGCGTTGAAACTTGCGATAATTCCATTTAAACCATCCTTCGCCTCTCTTGGACCATAATAACTGGTCCATATACAGAGCGCATGTCTTGACTGCCCAATTTTTAACACCGACAATTTTCGTCATACTGTATACGGTTGCAGTCAACGAAATTTTCAAATAGCAAGATTTTTTTTTTTGATTTATTGGTTTCTCTTTCTTTTTTTTTTTTCAACGTGCCTTTTCACAGACGATAATGTTGCTGAGCATTTGCGCTAACTTCACTTCCATCGTAAATCGGGAGACTCCTCTATTGAAGTTTTACAAATGAATAACAAGCTCCGAGCACTCCTTCCTCAAATAAGATATCACCGACATTCATACATTCAACGTCTATTGCGTGTGCCGCGAGGACGACTGTATTTATGGTGCACAATCTGCGGTATTGGTTGATGCCGCCGGGTTCCGTGACAAAAAAAATCATCCTGAATGAAAGCTGAATGCAAATGAGATGAATCGGGAATGGAGGATGTTGTAAAACCAAGTATCTTTGGGGCATGGGCACTCTAAATAATTAAATAAAAGAAAGCTCCTAGGGGATTGATGATCGGAAAGGGGATTGGAGACCCTTTACACATCTCTAAAGCCTGTGTCGAGATTTGTTTTATTTCTACTTGTTACTGAATTTTGCATAATTTCCTTTCACTCCTTGGAAATGGAAAAAAAAAAAAAAAAAAAACAAAAACTTGGCTCCTTGGAACCAAAAGTTTTATTCTGTTTCTAAATGTTTAACAAGACACTGCTTTAGCTAACTTCAAAGCTAGCAGAGAGCTATTTGAATTTACTATGTTTTAATTATTTTAACCTATTGATTGGTCGTCTAAATTTTATGTACTCCGATGGGGAATATTTTACTTGAGAGTTAACAAGGCGAAATGGGACATGGGGAGTTAACAAAGCCTCTAACAGTTATAAAACAATAAATGCAATTATTTTAATTCTATCAAGGATCCTAGAAACAAAGCATCAAGAAAAGATGTTATATAAATTGAAATAGTACTGTTATTATTATTTGAAACAAACTATCTAATTCAAATAATTTGCTAACTATCACTAATCGGAAACTATTTTCAGGTTATAAAACTTTCTAAAATAAAGCTTCTCTTATTTTCTTATTCCAAATATATCAAGTAGGTTTTCTGAATCATCAGTCTTCCCACTATTATAATTCATAATTTCCTCAGTATCTAAATATGATAAACATGGTTAAAATTCGTAAAGAACATTTGCTAATATAAAATTGGTGAATGTTTTTAATAATCTTACAGAGACATTAGGTATATTTTTGGAAGAGGGAAAGATTAAAAATAGCAACCGTTTTCGCCGGGAATCGAACCACGGACCTCTCGATACCGGCTGAGCGTGCAGAACCACTGCGCCATGAAGGCACGCTAGGAAAGTGGGAGAAATACCTTATAATCTAGATTTTGATTATCCTAATGCTGACCTTAAAAATACTCTACTATCCTCCAGTTTTGATAAACATATTAGTGAATGTCAATTTGTGGAAATTACTTTATAGGGAAAGGTTGTGGTAACGTTTGGCCCCAACTTGTCAGCAACTGTGGTAGTGACTGCTACGAAATTTAAATTTACACAAACACGTAAGAAGGGTTTAAAGCCCTTTTGATTCAACTTTAAAAATAACAGCTGCGTCCACCACTAACACTGACGCTCACAAACTACGCCGACCCGGCGGTTTAATGAAAAAATAATGACTGGATGAATGAATAGCTAGATCACTACCTACGAGGCTCTGAGATCTTAATTAACCTAACCGCGTTCTAAAATACAGCTGAGATTCAGCGAGCTTACTAATTAAGCAGTTGGAGGATTCAGCAAAATCTGCCGAGATAGGCACACAAGCCGAAACGCGCGGTTCTTAAATTTCTACCTAGCAACCTTCATGTTCACGATTCAAGAAGCACACACCCAATCTCGTTTTCCTTCTATTTAAACTCAACTTGCTTCTGCTAAAATTTGAATATATTGCGCGCTCTACTACAGTTTACATACATTTGCAGTTCTAGGGGAAAGTAAAGGCTTGACAGGAAAGATAGCTTAAAATAAATGTTAGTTAAAATAAATATAAACCCTACAAGGTCATTTTCTAAGTCAAAGAAAGTACTACAATTAGAGTACAGTATAATATCGCGATAGGCCTAATGTAATTTACCTCAATTAATTATACAAGCCGTATATATATTAAGTAGAAAAATTAAGTTTAAGAGTAAATATTATAGTGATGGTGACTAAGAATTGATCACTGAACTTGAACTATAGTAAAATTTTAAAACTGGTTTTTCATTGGTTCATCCAAAGTAAGTTTAAATTTAGCTTTACCTTTTAAAATGAAATACAAACTTCCATATATTCTTGTAGCTTCTGCGGCAAATATGGAAGATATTCCTAAAGAAAAAGATCTATCTCAGTTCTGTATAAAACTGGGTCTCATTAATTTGTTTATTAAATCTAGGAATAAAAGGGCGATGGTTTTTAAAAGTAAGTTTTTGGTACAATTTGATTATAGCTCCTCAGCTCCCTTAAAATTAGCGCATGATGGTGAAAAATAAGTATCATATTTGGATTTAGGAAATAAAAGTATTAAGTATATAAGCAAATTTGGTTTAAGTTCCATGAGATGCAAGCGACACTAAAACGCCTTATGTGTAAATTAGAGGTGGAATTCGTAGAAGTATATGTTGTGAGGTATATGATTGCCAATAGCAATAACTATAATTAATTGTTTATATTTTATTTAGCAATGGTATATATAGTTTATTTAGTGTAAATTACCCTACAATGCATTAGCAAATAATAATACACACACTAACCAATTTCCACGCTGATACTGAAACATCTCTAGCCATTTAATGCAATTGAAGATTTCTTAAAAGTCTTTTATATCTCCTACCATTCTGATTATCACTTTTTTCCAGGAATATGGGATATTCTTACTGGCTTAGAGTGGGTTAAAGAAAACATCGAAGCCTTTGGAGGCGATATTAGCAGAATTACAGTTGCTGGAGAGAGTGCTGGGTCTATAGCTGTAGGGTTGCTGTCAGTATCTCCTTTAGCTCGTGGACTTTATACAAGACAGATCTTGCAGAGTGGCACGCCGGCATACACAGCTGCTGATAATAACACTCAGAACCTGAACCGAAGTCAGCTGCTAGCAGAACTAATCGGATGTGCAAATGAAACTTACACAATTCAGCTTTACCCAAAAAACATTGTTGAATGCTTAAGAGGTACAGTAAAATAACTTTTTCAATAATTATGCAAATAATAACATCAATATTTGTTAAGTTAGGTTGCTTGAATGCTTGACAAAGCGCACTAGAGTTATCTGCTTAGAAGGAGGAATGTCTTCGTGAAGGACTTTCCAAGGGAAACTAACTATATTCATGTTACACATTATACTTAGAAGGAGGAATGTCTTCGTGAAGGACTTTCCAAGGGAAACTTAACTATATTCATGTTACACATTATATCATGAAAACAAACTATGCAGCCAATCCGTTCATCTGGGGTCGAACTCCCAGCCACTTAGCGCTCAGCCATGTTTGGTAGGTCTCATGAAGTCATTTGTAAATACTCATATTGCAAAGCATGATGATAGTGATATTTTATCTACAGATTACACGAATATCTTTGCAATACGATCAAATATTAAAAAAAATGATAAAAAGGTATTTTTTTAGCAAAAACATGAGCAGGCAAAAAAGAAAATTAAGAACAAAAAAAAAAAAATAATAAAATTTAACGAAAAACTAGAAAGAAATGACTTTAACAGCCAAAATGTATGCAAAATAAAAAAAATCTAATGTGGCCTCCACATTACTTCTTTGTACGGCCTAAACTATGCATAGCTTTTGTTTCATTTCATTTAAACTTATTTCCTTGAATGATTGTAACTTAATTAACCATTCCCTCAAAGCAAGTTGAAAATCACATCAAAAATCGCAAATTTTGAAATCAAATAGCCAGCCCAGTTTTTCTCACATGGGAGTCAAACTTCTTATAACTTTATTTTTTCATAAAGAGTATAAAGTACAGGAATCAGAAGACCGCATTAAAAATTGAATTTCGTTATTTGTCAAAAATGAATATTTTTTAAGGTGGCACTGCAAAAATATGAATATTTTCTCCATTTATCCTCCATTTTCTCCAAAACACATCTGCAATTTGACTACGACCAACGACTACGAAAATAAAGGCCAGATAAAGTTTAAAGCCAGGAAAAGGATGAGTGTATACGTATATATATTGTATATATACACACTCTTTTATACGAGTATATATATATTGTATATATTTAAACAAATTTAAATTTTAACGAACACGTAGAAAATAAAAAAGCAAATTTAAAGCCAAAATAAAGAAAAAAAGCCAAAATAATTTTTTACAAAAATTTTAAAAAAGTGCAAACATATAAAAGATTTAATTCTCGAACTAATCTACAATATCATTTAAATTCAGAAGCATAAGCAAATCAAGTGCAAAACCAATCCATGAAAATAAATTCACTAATTTAGCAAATTAAAATTAAACCAAACAATTTTTTAAAAATGCATAAGTGAATGACTGTTGAGTAGGCAGGAGACAGACTTATCAAGGGGAAGTTGCCTCCAAACCTAACTCTCCAATCATTCAATTCGTGTTTCGTCATTCATGCAGGCAAGGGTAAAAGTCAAAACCAAAAGCAAAAAGAAATACCAATAAAGTGCTACCCTTAGAAATTTGCATTTAAGAATTAAAGTTCTAAAAGGAAAATACTAATGAAGTCTTTTGAGAAACAAGCAAGTAAAGTCAAGTATTAATTTAAACTTTTAAAAAAAAAAGTTTAATTTAATTTTTAAAAAAAAATTTTAATTAATTTTTTATAAAAAATATAAAATAATCTAGAAACCAATGTATTTTAGAAACCCTTGTCTACAGAAACCTCCCCCACATGAATATGCATATCAATAAAAAGAAACTAAAAAGAACTAGACATAATCCATATAAACCAATAAGAAACAAAAAGAACTAATTCACAATTTTTAAAAACCAAATATATACTTAAAAATATAATTTCATATTTAGAAAATATTTAAATACTACATAAAAAATTTTAAAAAATACTTAAAGCAAGTAAATTGTAAGTTTTAATTCTAACTTACCTACTATATGAGTGTTGAGGTCTGCAAAAGTGTTTTTAAAGAGAAGTAAGTGTTCTTCAAAATATAGTTAGCCCTTATGTAGGTAAAGTTGAGTGTCAAGCTGCTGTCTTTGTTATATTAAAAATTTTTTGCAAACATTAATATTAAAATAGAATTAAATTAAAAATTAAAAATTCTAAAGGTAGTAATTATCAATTATTTAGGGAGTTAAGTAGCTGAGCCAATCAAGAGATGTTATTATACTATTATATTAAATTTGTATTTAAATTAAATTTATTTAATTAAATTAAATTTATTCTTTGGAAACTATATTGTATATATGCACACTCACTCTTTTATATACATATATATATATATATTATATACTAAAAACTTTGCAATATTAATGCTGTAGAAAGTAGAAAGTTGAATCCATAATGAAAACCAAGAATTTTGATGACGTAGAATGCTGAAATGCCGATCCACAATGAATAGGAAACTGGAAGCCGAGGCAGATTAAATCTTCATTTTATTTCAGTAAACATGTTGTGGCCACAAACAACTTGGCACATTATTTTTATCTATTTCAAAATGTTTACTTTTTCATAACTTTGCACTAAGAAGGAAGCAGCTACAGCAGTTCAGCTAGACCAAAGAGCAGAGAGTAAGAATTATGTTCAAGATGAAATCTTAATTCAGACTCAGTTAGTTTTGGTTCTCAGTGCATTTCAATTGGATGATTAATATTCCTGTAAAACTATTATTGGTTTTTTGAGTTACATTTGCATCATCAAAAGCGTCATATGACATGCATATATGTAAGCGTCATATGACGTGGATTAGTCTCGAAATAACGCAGGGTAAACAGAGATTATTGTCTTTAAAATAGAGAAGGGAAATAAATTTATGCTGCTAATTTAAATTATAATTCATCTTTTATATATTCTTTATTTTCTTACACACACACACACACAGATATATGTATATATATATATATATATGAAATAAACTGCGTTATTAGACGTAATAAAATGACTTGGTGAGAGTTGCAACGAACTGGCTTGGAGAGGATTGCGACTTTGCTGCGTCGTTGGCAAGATGCCATTTGAAGAACACACATAACGGTAAATTCCACACATCATTTTATTTTTCGATAATACACTGTGGGTGCGCTATGCACCCCACAATTTTGTTCAGCTTACATTTTAAACAATGGACAAATTTAGGAAAGAAACATTGCTTAGCTAGCGGCACAGCAGAAATCAGTACAAGAGACGAACGAAGAAAAGAAGAGAGAGTTGTGACGTAATTACCCTTTTTATACCGAATTCCATTTCAGATCACGTGACACTTTCATGTACAGAATTTTGGGTTCAGATTTCATCGGCAAGTGCACATCAGAACTGCAGGGAGTAAAATTTATTACTGTTATTTTTAGAATGAAACGGAAGTTAAAAGACTATTAATTTATTAGTTGAAAGCTAGATTTTATATTTTACATATTAGATATTTTATATTTTACATACATATATAAGAAAAATAAATACTATGTAAAAAATTAAATCAGCAGCGTAAATTAATTTTCCTTCTCTATTCTAAAAACAGTAACCTCTTTTCACACTGCGTCATTTCGAGACTAATCTATGTAATATGATTCTTACGTAATTCTGAGGATGTAAATGGAACTAAAGCAGCCAATAGTAACTTTATAGCAGTATTAACTATCCAATCAAAATGTCTGCTCCTTCTTTCTTACTGATAATTTATCTAAAATGTAAATTTTTTGGAATAGGCACAATTAATGTGGCAACTTTATTCTTGTCACAGCATGTTTACTGAAACAAAAGTTGAATTAAATATACCTTGACTGCCAAATTTCTTATTCATTGTGGATCAGTATTCTACGACATCAAAACTCTCGATGTTTATTACGGATTCAACGGCCTGCGGTCTACTATAGAATCTATTACATGTAAATAATATAAGTTTTGTACTGCTGATTACAAGGCCGATCTATTATAAAATTTAGCTTTCTGAATTATCTCTTATAGTGCAATTTTAACATTGTTGTTCTAAATGAAGTTTCGTTGATGAAGGTTTTGCGTACAAATCATAAATTGTGGTAATCTCAAAGGGCTAAAATTCCACTATCCATCATCATAAAGCTTTTTGTTGCTTAATGGATACTTTTTATAGCTTACTTTACGGTCAGCCTGCGTCTTATTAAGTAACTACTAATCGATTAATTTTTACTTGGAATATGTATCAAGAAACAGGTAAAAATTTCACAAACAATCAATTTCTTAACTTTTAAAACTGTAAATAATTATAACCGCATGGAAGATTGAATGCGCCAGTTTTCTTTAAAATGCTTTTGAGTATAATTCATAATGTTAGATTTGACTGCATCATTACTCACCTAAAGCTTATATTCATGCAGGTATCGATGCAATGGAACTGATTATGACTGAGGCTACTTTAGACCCATATTCTAACAGACGCTTCATACCGCAGTTTGGTGACGAACTGTTGCCAAATAACCCTCGGGAATCAATAATAAACGGTGACTTTCAAAATAACGTTATTCTAATTGGAAATACACGTGATGAAGGATCTTCTCAGGTGAGTTCATCAGCAAAAATTTTCAAATATTATAAATGCACTGTAATCTTAAAATGAATAAATCGGATTTTTATTTTGTTGAAAGATTTACTTTACTGCAGCAAAATGAACCCCTACAGTAAAATACATACTGAAGGCTAAATGTGTGTTTTGTACATTAACTCCTTTATAACTATTGTCTGTAAGAAATTCTGGAGGTTCGTTTATCCACGAAAAAAGGAGGGAACCCATAAACACACAGTAAAAGATTATTACAAATAGTTTATATGCAGAAACTTTTATTATTAATTTGTAAGGCAGCAAACTTCTACTAAGTTTAGATAGCATTTAAATTAGAGCAAGCAACATCTTCAGCAAATCAGTGATAGAATACGCTTTTGTTGATGGAAAAATTCTCATTGTATTTCAAACTGAAGTAAATTATCCAAGTGGAAGCAAACAAAATGGGACAGGTCGATCATATCACCGAAATTTTAATATTGGGTACTTAAATCATTCCGCCGCCCATTGGCCGAAATTGCTTTACCGCCCCTAAACTATGGTTATTTTTCTGTTTTAATTTATATATTTCTGTTCATGGTTAATATTTAAGGTAATAATAAATAAGAATACAATTTCAAATGTATTAAATATAATATTAATATAAAGGAAATGCATATGCATTTATGACTTATAATGTCAAGTTACAAAAATTATATAAAAACAAAAACATAAAAAGTCTAATAAATACATAAACTCACAATTCAGCTTCTACATTATGCTTTAATAATTAATCTACATATGATTAATTATTGCCAAAAATGAAATGATAAAATATAATATACTTGTTCATCTATTTTGTAATGTTGGTTTGTAATTTCCTCTTCAGCAAGTCTTTCCATTGCGTGATTGAGAGAAATATTATTAAGTGCATCATCTCTCTTCTATCATTAAAATTACTAAATCATTTAATCTTACCTCATGCAATGTCATTGACTGTCGTTCTTCTTGGAGATACTAAAGCAACAAGAATCAGCGCAAGTCGCATAAATTTGCAGGACTCGTTTCGAAGGCTATATTTTAATTCGTACTAGCACTTATATTCAGGGGCTAAGCCAGCTATAAGCACAGATTTGTGCTCTTAGTCACGATAAAATTCTTCTGGGTTTTATGCTACTAACAGACAAGTGAGATAAGTCAAAACATACATATGTAAAATATAAAATATCTATCTTTCAAGCAGTAAATTAATAACAGCCCTTTAATTCCCGTCTTCATTCTAAAAATAATAATAACATTTCTGGACTGCGTCATTTCTGCGTCATTTCTAAATTAATCTATGCCACGAAGCTTGTGTAACGCTGATGACGTAGTAATTGGGAACCGAAACTCTGTGAAATAAAACTTTTCTAGCTCAAACAAAAACCTTCCTCTTCTTTTCTCTGTGCCCTGCTTAGACGTAATTTCGCTGGGCTCCCTTCCTATCGCAAAAGTATCAAAAATGTAAATGTTCTGTAAATAGTCACGATTAGAGTGCTAAGTGATTGTGGCCACAAATGTCAAATGGAAATAAGAATGGAAGTAAAACCACATCGACTGCAAGTTTCTTAATCATTATGAATTTTACGTTCTAAGTATCAAGTATCTTCGCAATCAGTACTTCTACGCTTCCTACGTCTCAGTGTTCCTACATCAATACTTCTCTGAAATTTGTTATTCTTACATATATACACTTGATTTTTATGCTTTAAAATGTGACCCACAGCTAAAAACAAAGATAATTAAACATATTAGATTTATATCCATGAATTCTACGAGGTATGACACACACAAAAAAAGGAAAGACTAAGTGTGCAGCTTGAAAACACGGTGGAGTTGGCAACAACTGTTTTGGTGACGTCATGCCACACATCTCCTCTATCCATGCGGCCAGTTTTGGCTTAATGAGGAGTACTGTGCCATTGAGTGAACACGTGCAACTGCATTCTGCAGGAAAAATGTCTAATGTAAAAAACGGAACAGCGAATCAACAACAAGCTTCTTGTGAAATTTAAGAAATCAGCAGCAGAAGAAACATTTCAAATAGAAACATTTCAAATGTTAACTGAGGCTTATGAAGATGAAACTTTGTCTCGTGCACCTGTATTTGAATGGCATAAGCGGTTTTCAGGTAGAAGAAGAGTGTGTAAGATGATGAACGTGCTGGGCGCTCCCTTGGGCGTTCATCATGATTGAATGGGTTCGCAGGGGTCAGACTGTTAATCAATACCACTACATTGAAGTACTAAAAAGATTTCGTGAAAATATTAGGAAAAAAGGCCACAATTGTGGAGTGATGGATGGCTGTTGCACCAGGCATAATGCACCCGCTCACACGACCCTATCTGTCAAGCGGTTTCTGACAAACAAAAACATTACTGTGATGGAGCATCCTCCTTACTCAACTGATTGTGCTCCATGGGACTTTTTTGTTATTTCCTAAAGTTAAATATTACTTAAAGGGAACCCATTTTACCTCAGAGGTTTAGACCAAAACGGAGAATCTTCTGAAGGGCCTTCCAAAACCCTCATTCCACAACTGTTACCAGCAATGGCAGCGCCGAATGTAAAAGCGTCTGATTGCTGAAGGGAACTACTTTGAAGGTGATAATGTCACGAAGAATTGATTCTTTAGGTACAATGATTTATTGGACCAGTCTCGTTTTTTTGTGTCACACCATATATTCTCTCGGCATAATTCTTCTTGGATAATTTGGCTAAAGATATATAGAACAAAATAATAGTGATAAATAATAATTAATGACTGTATTTTCATATGATTTTATGATGTAATGTAATGTGAGCGTATTGCATCCCTCCTGGCCGATAATAAACGGCCTCATGGTTAACGCAGCACACCCAACACAGATTAAAGCAAAAATACAGTTAAAAATCTCAAATTCAAAATTCCCAATATTATTCTGTTGCCATTTATAAAGTTCATCATATCTTTTGCAAATCTAAACTGTTTCCTGCGGCAATAGAATTCATTTACGTTCCCAAATTATAGTGCATTTACGTTAATAAATTGCGACCCTAACATGTCGCAATAATACGCAGTCTTTGAAATGTCGGGCATTGGCTTCAGCACTACAAAAATTACGAGGACTATTATTTTGCAAATTAAATCTTTTTAGGTACGCATAGAAGCGCCAGTGCCCAGTAGTCATTTGATTGTAATCAAAATCACATATCGTTCTCATATTTTTAGAAACTTCAAAGTGCAACAAATAATCTCTTCTTTTTCTCAAAATGTTTCATATCTCTTTCAAGCAATAACAGAAATCCTTGATTTTACCAATAACAATTCTTTATGATGCCTGAATATCGAATGCATCCACAGCATTACCCATAGCAGCCTCTTTGGCCAGCATGTCCGCCGTCTCTTTGCTTATAACACCAACTTCGTGTATTTTCTCAACTTTTAGAAGGAGATCTTTTATATATGAGACCAAAATATTGCTGCTATCAGCATCTGCTGGTACTTCCAAACCAGATAATGTGTCTGTATATATATATGTTACCGTGAAAGGCCGAAATTGGAGAATGTCGACTTTCACCGGAGAATATCAACATTCACCAAATACATCGGTGAAAGACCGAATATTTCACTACATTCTTGTGTATTCGGACCCTCACCGGTGTATGTCGACAATCACAGATATGCTCTGGTGAAAGTCGAAAAGAGAGGTCATAAAGTGCCATAATAGTTTAAGTTGTTGCAATAAATAAGATTTGAATCACATAATTTAGTAAGTTTTTTATTACTGTTATTTTATTTTCTCATTTAGAACGTACTGTATAATTAAGTAAGTTTTTAACTTCTATTATTTTCCTTTCTCATTTTGAATGTATTGTGTGTTTTAGATTCTCATGTTCTTAAGTTCTTATTTCAAGTTTCAAGTTCGTTTATTCGCGACTGAATTACGGAGAAGAAAATATAATATTGTTATATGTTCAACATTCACCATTAGTACATGGTGAATGTCGACATTCACCGGTGTAAGTCAGAAATAAGAGCATTTGGAAAATATTTCGGACATACACCAAGAGACTATGTGAATGTTGACATTCACCGGTGAAAGTCGACATTCTCCAGATTTCGGTGTTTCACCGTAACATATGTTATTATATTTTATACACGCACACACACACACACATATATATATATATATGTTTTTATAATCGGATTTTCATTAATCCATTTAAGAGCAAATACGATAGCAACCGATATTCGGCATGAAAAGTCGAATTGTAAGGTTCAAGTCTAATTTTGCCATAGTTTGTTTTTGTACCAAACAAGTAAACCGCATATGCTTCGCCAATTCAATTGTCATAACCTGAACCGTCAGTAAATAATCCCACTGTTTTTCTTAATGCAGGATGTATACTGTTAATATCAAAGAATATAAAACATGTATAATGTGCAGTACAACCTCAGTAAATAATAAAATCAACTTTTGAACGTAATAAATTTATCATAATAAAAATATGATTTTATAAAGTGTTTTCTCCCTCCTTTCAGCAAACTTTCGTGGTGTAATTGGAAGCATAGTCGATGCATATGCTTCCAATTACACCAGGTCCAGGTTCGAGCTCCAGCGAGGGCACTGCATATTTTTCACATCTCCTACTTCAAAACAGCCTGATAATTTAGTTTTTAGATCAAGAGTGCTAATGAGGAATTTATTTCTGTAAAGTAAACACATATAACAATATTTTGTCCTTGTATCATGCCCTATGTACCATGCCTTATGCTTCTATATAAGTTGCGTACTTGTACTAGGCCATATGTACAATTCACAATACACACTCTTAGTATGCACAATATATGTGTTTTTATTCAAACTTGTTTATTTCAGTTAACATCATTAATCTTCTAAGCATTATTGTCATGAAATGAATCTGTAATATAATTACCATTCCCTATGTTCCTTTGTTTTATACTCCATGGCTTATCTGTACCGTAATTGTAAACATATTTAATGATACTGTGCCCTATGTATGCCCTATGCGTTTTTAAGTGATTTATGTCATGTGATCCTAAGTTTTTTATGTGCTCGTATTTATTACGCGTTTTATGTTATATGTTTAGGTGTTTAATTTTCTTATTTTGTTATAACCTATTAAATGTTTTCCCCCCCTTTTTTTAAACCGTGCCTGTATCAACAAGTTAATTCAAATGTACTTCAAATGCCAGATGCTCAACATTTGCTCCTGTATGGCCATGTATCCACACTTTAATTATTAAATAAACTCCAGGGGAGGACGCGGGACATATGCCTGTTAACCTCTGTTAAACTTCAGGCGTCCCCGTCCTCCGTCACCTGTCACCTGTAAAGTAAACAATTATTGATATGATGGAAAATGAGAACATTCAGAAAGCTAAATTTTAAAATGGATCTTAAATGTCGCAAACAACATAATATAAGTGCATTTCTGTTAGTGTTTTCATTAATTCAAACATAACACTGAACTACTAATGCGATGTTAAAACTTACTTTATTTATATTTATAAAAGTACCTAAAATTTTCATAAGCCGTCCTGTTTAAGTGACATGAAATTTTTAATCGCTCATAATAAAATATTGAAATGCGGAAGATTAGAATTCCAAAAACTGTAAACATTGCTAAATTTTAAATTTTTTTAAATTCCAAAGACCGCCGGGGAATATATTTTTCCTGAAACTAGTTAAGGCCCTAAATTTAACTTTACTTCATCTTAAAATTTCGCATGCTTTGAATCTATTGTGGCTAAATTTGTCAGTATCCTAAAGTGTAGCGGGGTTATCATCAACTGTGATAAAGGCTAAAAGTTTTATTTTCGGAACGGAGTTTAGGAAAAGCGATTAATATTATTTGTAATTTGTAACGCTATTACAGCATTCAAAAATTTTTCATTTGCATTTCATAACGTAAATATCAGCTGTGTTCGTGACTATAAACTAACAAAATAGAAATGGCCGCTGATATTTGTTTTCGTTGGTCATTAGGTCAAACAAATCATTGAAATTTCTAATTAAAATGAAGTATGACATCGGGTTTTTCATAAAACCAATATGAAGAAATTTCAGACAATAATATTGATAAGTGTTTAGTATTATGTTTCAACAATAAATCCTATCTCTGGCAAAAGACTTAATATTTATTTAGTACTTGAATATCAGTATAAACTAAAACTAAACTCAGTGGCGTAACAACCCTAATGGACCAAGGCCTGCAGTGCCCTAAAATGTGCTTTCTTGACCGTGGGCCCCGGGGTGCGTAAGTATATGCCCTGAGCAAGTGGTCAGCTTGGTCTCAGGACCCCTAGTGTTTAGTCCCCAAGCGAACTTGGTACTCATTTTATCGACCCAACTGATGGAAATCAAAGGATGAAAGGCTGAGTCGACCTTGCCCAGCCCGGGAATCCAACCCCGGACGTGTGCTACTGCTGCGCGATGCTCTAGCCACTGTGCCACCGGGTCTCTTCAATATCAGTATAGGCAGTTGCAATTAAAATTTTATAATTGCTTTGAAATTCCTAAGCAGATTTAGAAAGGTTCTGTTCAACGTTTAATAGGCGTTAAGTTAGTTGAATTGATTAAGGCAAAGCAACTCGGGGGGGGCAGGTATCTGCTCTTAGGGAGAGATGCCTTCATGGAGTACTTTTTAAGGGAAACTGGCTCGTGCAACCAACATTTAATAGAAGTGTATGCGTCTATGGCAAAGCAAATCTGTAGGAGACATTTTCTGCATGAAAACTGAAACGTGACATGTGATATACTAATTATTACATATCAGTTTACAAGCTTTAAGTTTGAAGGAAATTTGAAAATGGCAAACTGAGTCTCATTATTATTATAATGATTTGGAACCTAAAAATTTAAATGCTTTAACAACAATGAAACTACTGTAGCTCCAGGATATATCATAGTCAGCAAGTGATTATTATCAAGAAATGTTCTGGGAATTTCGCTTCCTAGAAAGGTTACCGTCTTCAGTTATTCTCTCGATTCGAACTTATGCAGAAATTCTTTATCCCTTTCATTGACAAAGGAAGATTTTGCCACATTCTGGCTTTCGTCTGCTTGCTTAAGCTACCAAAGTACGACATTTTTTTAATGGCCGATCGCTTTATTTAATAGCCGTTTGCCTTGCGCCACTACAAAGGCCGGAAGTAGTGGCCATTTCATTATGGGAGCACCTAATAGGTTGCCACCGTTGCCTCCTATGAAGGGACGGACAATTACAACCATGCCGTCTCCGAGATTCGAACCCGGGAACATCGCTAGCAGCATTTTTGGTGTTCAAATAAAATGTTCAAAATACAAATTGATGTTTCAAACTGATTCTGCAAAAGTTTGTTTCAAAGGAAAATTTCGCAGTTGCTTCGGTATTGTCGAACATTGTTGCTGAATATAACAGACGTCAACCTGATAACAAGTTTGAAGTTTTCCTCAAACGTGAAATGCAAACTGACTTTTAAATACCCAAAAGCTAAAGCACCTTTGCGTTTTAATTCAGGGCTCTTTCCTTTTAGCCCTGTTTTTAACTAATATTTTTTATTTATTTCTAGATAACAACTCAAAACCGAGAAATTTTTGGCTTCTTTGGCGAAAAAAATCCTCAAATAAACAAGACATTTGGCAAGGATATGATACGCAAGATCTTCGCCAAACTCCCCGACAGGGAAGCAGTTGTAAGACAGTACCTCCCAGATGAAATTACTGAAGATCAATATGAACTAGTGCGTCGACAAGTACACATCGCATCTGGTGACTATTCAAGAGTCTGTCCATCTGTCTATTTTGCCGAGAAGTACGCCGAAAAGGGCAACAATGTATTCTTCTACGTATGGGATCATCGTCCCAGTCCGACCCCGTGGGCCCCATGGATGGGGGTGGTTCATTTCACAGAAAATCAGTTTGTCTTTGGAAGTCCTATAAAACACCCAGAGAAATATGTACCTGAAGAAGTTCAACTCAGTTCTGACATGATTAAATATTGGACAAATTTTGCTAAAACTGGGTAAGTATTACATCTAAGTTTTTCTTCTATTTAAGAAAGCAGTATATAACTTTGAAATTACAAGTGGGAAGCTCATGCAAAAATTCTAAGTAATAATAAAGTTTTTATATAGATTATTAAATTCTGCTATACGATGGAAAACTGCAATTCGAATATATACTACTATTTAGAATAAAATAAATGTAACACAAAGCAGTAAGTAGTACAGCTTACTAATATATAAGGATTTCGGAAATGATTCAAAAGCAGAAAACACAGACGTTTGTCTAGCAATAACACACTAGATAGACATTGTCCATAATCTGTAGATATTTCGGTCTTAAATTAGATTTTATTACTAATGCACAGAGAATTCGAGAGGGATAACTGTGTCCCTAACTATCCTTTTGTTCCCTTAAATTATACTATTACATTAGTCAGTTTAGTCTTTTCATCCCGTATGACTTCTTAGAAGTACCAAAACCAAAGTCTAATGACAACTTAACACGCCGATATGCACAAACAGGGAATTAAGAAAAACATAACCCCGCTAACTTGCGAGTAAAATATAAGTTCTCAAAGCAAATTCAAGGTGAAGCTAAGGCTTTTCACAACATTATCAAAACTTAATATAAACCTTAGCTCCCTCTAACTAATCACTGGCTAGGAATCAAAGCAAGTAAACATCTGCCTTAAGCTCATTGCAAGAGCTAATTACAAAGAGCTAAACTCACACTAAAGTAACAGCCAACCTAAGCTACTTAATGCTCTCGGATAAACGTTGAAATATGACGCTTATTTATACTCAAGCCAAATTAAATTATGTTGAAATTTGATGAATGTAGAAGTATAGGAGAGCCAAAATACCTGGTTAATTAAAACACAACCGTCAAAATATAGGTTATCGATATTTTTCTTTTTATTTCATAATTCTTTTAAATAAATTAGAGACATTTAAGAAGAGCATTTCAACACTGCAGATAGAGAGACTCTATAAAAATCAAATCTAACTTTATATATTTTCCTTGAAAGACGCAAACTCTAATTAGTAAAATATTCATTGTAGTTTAAGACGTTAAAAGACATTCCATATATTTTCTTTCAAAATGTAAAGAGAACAATTTTATTAACATTTTCAAGAGACTATCTCTGTTGCAAATGTAATATTAGGTTTTGCTTCGCCCATTACGAAACCATTAATCACCAGAACGAGTAACATCTATTTTCAACTTCTCTTGCTAATTGATTGTATATGCTTAATGCTTAAGCTCAGTATTTAGGTAACTAAGTTTACAGCCAACTTTTTCCTTTCATGTGTATTTTCCATTGCGTAACATACAGTTTTCTTAATCGTAAATTTGTTTCCAAATAAGTATCATTAAAAATGCAACTCCAAACAGAGTTATTCAGCAACAACTGTCTCAAATACATTCCACTACTTCAATACTAATTACATCTGTTGTTCCATGTTATTCTTGGCTGCACAAAGCTCAGTAATATTCTTTAGTATCATAAAATGTAACCAAACTTTAGGTAGACTGGCAGCGAATTATTGATAAGTAATAACTGAAACTTGAAAAAGGTGTAAAAGATCGTTTATATAAAACTAAATAGGAACAGAAGGCACATTTGGTGCTTACAACTCAGCCAACAACTTGTGGAAAGATAACTTGAAGCAACAGTAGCTAAAATGCTAAATTTAATTTAAATAAGCTAGTAACGACAGATTACGCAGATCAATTAACGCGAACATGGCTCAAAACTTAACCGGCGTAGATATTCAACTATCAGCAATTATAATGCTTTACAATCTAAAAGATTCACCTTAAATAAGCTCGAACCAATTTGCATTGAACCAGTTTGCGGAAGAGGGAAGAGAGAAGTGACTGTAAAGATCCGAAACATAAAATAGCTGATTCAGAAGTCAAACAACAAAAATCAGCGTTATATTTACAAACTTTTCACAGGACCTAGTTTCGATGGTTTTACCGAACCACCATCCTCAGCTGCAAAACCGCAAATGTGCAGCTGAGGATGGTGGTTCGGTAAAACCATCGACACTAGTCCTGTGAAAATTTTGTAAATATAACGCTGATTTTTGTTGTTTGACTTCTGAATTAGTATTTATTCGGCGTGTTATTGTGTCTTAATTATAAAATAGCTGGTTAATTAACATAAAGGAACCTTACAATTGCACGGGCGCTTTCGTGGTTTTCCCCATGTGTAACATAGATACCAAAAGTTCACAATAACTTTAGCACATTATACTATTGGCATATAGCGCGCATTGAAAATATAAAAACAAACTTTTACCTTGGTTTTCTTATTTAAAAGATTACAAAATCACTGTTTTAAAAGAGGTCAATTTTTTACACTTTTAAGAGAAAAACACTTTTTAAATTTTAGTTCTATTACTATAGCTATATAATGATCATTCTTACTTAAATGGGTGTCAACACTGAACCAACCATGGAGATACTCAAGTCATATGTGGCTAGATACTGTCTGGTTGAAAAATGGTAAAAATAGTATCATAGCGCTTCGATAATGCTATTTAATTCAGCACATCGCAGAATATCGAAACTCTTTCCTGCTAAGGTGTTGGTGAACAATAAACAAAGATGTCCAGCTGTCATAGAAAACAGCTCTGAATATAGTTGGTTAAAATATGAAATCTTTAAGGCGCTTGATAACAGATAAAGGAACACTGTGGTCAGAAATTATCTCAGAATGTTCTTGAAATATTGCGATACCGAGAGGGTGACATGAAGACTTGTCAAAGATGCCTTCCTATCATATGGCATGGTTTTCTAAAGTAGTCGTTCCAAGTACTAAAGACTTGTGAAATTTCTTAATGAAGGCAAGTTCAATATTGTATTGTTTCCAGACACGTACGCATCAGTAACCGACGTTTCAGTGACTCACCACTGAAAACTCATCACATAACATTAGTAGCTGCGCTGAGAGCAGTGAGATATCTTTTAAGAGTTTCATTAATCAAATATCTAACCTAAACAATTATGACTTGAAAGCGAAAATTGCTGATACTCAAATTTCAGCACTCGAAATCGTATGCTTCAAGAAAAATAATCACACTGATCAGATACTTTATCGATGGCAGAAATTGATTAATTATTATCGATGGCAGAAATGCTTATAAATGAGCAGTGGAAGGTAGAAAGGTCTCCTGGAATGCAGTTCTTTTCCTGTGAATCGTTTGGCAACAACTAAATGAACAATTCTATGTCTGTAAATTGTATACTCTAAATATCGTAGGTTTCTTCTTAGTATAGTGCTTTGCACATAGAAATAACTATACGCAGTTTTAGTATTTCAAGTCAATTGCGAATAGTGGAAAGTGACATAGTCATTTGTTTTCATGGAGCTCTTAGACATACTTGAAGTTTTATCGTCTACCTAGGAAATTTCTACGCACGCGTACCACGAAATTAAGCTTCTATGATCTACTAGTCCCCATATGTACAAACTGCTTCGTTGATTTGATCATTGCCTGAAGGACGAGAGAGCTAAGTAACCTTTTTCAGCTAACGGATACGGATATTGTCTCTCACAACCTCTCTCAGCTACTTATACAGAATTAAAATCTGGTGATACTGCACTAAAATCTGGCGATGCGCATTGATGAGATGGGCATGTCGACAATGGTGTTTTGCTGGGCTTTACTTGAGCTCATGACTTCTAGTTTATTTTTCAGTAAATAAATGCAATTGTATTTAAATTTTATGTTTTTATAGTTCTATATTATTCATTGCATCGGTTTTAAGTACTTTATAATATTTTAGGGCATGTTTGGATGAAAAAATGTGTTTTAAAATTTGTATGATAATTTCCACTTAGTAACTTAAAAATGCATGCTTTTGTGCTTAGAGCTGTTTTAATGCTTAAAATGTAACGCTCATAACCGTGTTTTTACATCTGCTATCATTTTCGCGCTTTTTCTTTCGTGGATTTTATGTATGTGTAAATTTTTATGACCATTTTTCTACTACAAGCTGTTAAACCTAACGGAGCGGATGATCATTTAAGCCTGTTTAGTTCTAAAACATTATTTGCCCCCTAAGCCATCAAATTTGCCTAACGGCTGGTCAAATATTATTGTGCTTAGTATACCCCCGGGGGTCGCCTCAGGTAAAACCTGGGAAGCTATTGGTTAGGATATGTACCCAGGCAATCTCGGCCACAGGGATATAAGATCAGTCTTCACAGGACTAGAGTCATTGCTGGCGATGGTTGGTTCAGGGTCGGCAGGGACCGTATGGCTTATTCTATTCCGTTTATTGTCTATTCCGTTGGTTGTGGTGGAGCTATTTAGTCAGATATTCATGGTGGTCCGGGGGGAAACACCTCCGTCGATGGAGTCGGTGAGTTTGGCGAGCCTTAGACTGCTTGAGGTTTCCAGTGGGCGCCTGGAGCCTCAAAACTGCATATTCATAGCCTTTCCCGAGGTAGTATTAGCAGGCCGGATTAGTGGCTCTGTCTGTCTGACAAAGTTTAAGTAACTTCCTTCCGCTGTTCCGGGTTGCGGCCCCTGTTGATGGCAGATGGTTTTTACATTCCCTCCAGGGGAATGTGAGTTGCTTAGTATGCCTATCAACACGGCTTGGTCTTAGCTCGTCGGCTCGACCCATAGGTTAGCGTCCTCTTGGATCGCCTCTAGGGGTTTAACTGCGTTAAGGCAGCTTAGAGTTAGCCAGGTCTGAGTGTCTCTTCCTCCTAGCGCGCTGTGCCTAGTATGCACATTGAATATTAAAGTGTTTTACAGAACTTTAATGAGTTCCACTATGAATTTCAAACATGTTTTAACGTGTATGTATCCAGCCTGTCGTGGATTTATAGACTTTACTAAATTTTTATGAGGAGTAACGTAATAGTAATTTATGAGTTATATCAAATTCAATGTTCAAAATGAAAGAAGTGGATAAAAGTTAGAAAGTACGAATAGTGTTGCTTATGATCAGAAAGTTGGTGGCAATGGAAAAAGTTACAATACATAATATTGA